CCTGAGATTTGTTGTTTGAATTGCAGATATGTCTTCGTATCCGTTGCTTAATGGTAACATCGATAGAAAGCACTGGGGCGCCCTTACGGAAGCGGGCAACAACTTAGACGTGTTGGTCACTCGTACCCCAAAGACTAACTGGCTGATACACGATTCATGGGTTGATAGGTATGTGTGCATATAATGGAGTCCATATAATGACTTACTATGTTTGACATACTTTTCATAACCGCTAACAATCTCTTTATTTTGTAGGTTAAGTTGGGCTGGACTTCTACCCTTGGTACGACTAGTTGAGGGTACATTGGATGAGTGGATTGATGGTCCGAACTTAGATGAGGCAGGTGAACCATTGCAGTTACACAAGAGGCAAGTGAAACGTTTCTCTTACGACAAGTCACTCCTTACCTGCTTAGTAGATAGATGGAGACCAGAGACACATACATTTCACTTTCCCTGGGGAGAGATGGCGCCTACTTTACAGGATGTGTCTTACTTGTTGGGATTACCTCTGGTCGGTGCTGCCATAGGTCCCTTAGAGGCAGAATCTGGGTGGCAAGTAGCGATGCAGACCCGTTTTTTGGCTGCGGTCCCGACTGCTAGGGCCATAGACAACGATCCTCATGGACCTCTTTTTAGATGGTTAAGCCAGTTTCAGGTAACCATCACGGCCACTTAAACAAATCATTACGTTTCATACAATGTAGATGTGTCTTACTTGTTAGATGTGTCTAGAGGCCATAAACAAATTATTACGTTTCACGGCCACTTTTTAGATGTGTCTTACTTGTTCATACAATTATTACGTTTCTATGTAGATTGTCTCGTTAGTACATCCCGACGTTCAGTTGTCGGAGGCACAGATTGACCGGTCCCTAGAGGCATATATTCTTTGGCTGTTCGGCAAGACAATGTTTACGGAGAACCACGTGACCACTGTCGATGCACGACTCATCGGTATTGCATGAGAGATAGCTGACGCACGTTGCCCTGTGGATATTCTGCAGAGGAGTTTTGGTTCTGCCGTGTTAGCGGCTACGTACAGAGGCCTGTGCAAAGCTTGCTTGTTGAAGTCTAGAAAATCTAGTCTTGTTGGATGTCCATTATTATTGCAGCTCTGGTCATACGAGAGATTCCCTATTGGACGACCCTATGTCTACGTTGATAAACCTTTTGGTTTGGAGGACTTAGCTGGGACTTATGTGCCTGCTATCGGCGACTTACCTACTATGGGATCTGTTTGGACAGGGCGAGAGGTACTTTTATATTAAGTAACAATTAATTCAATTATTTCTTGCCATTCAATAGTATTACTAATGCTTATTTGTTGTCATGCACAGAGACATTTTGCGCATACTCAGGTTAGGGGATGCTACCCATCCTTCATGGCGCAGTTTGATAGTTTGCAGGAGGATCAAGTTATTTGGGAGCCATACTCGCCTCAGGCTATATCATCGAGGTACCCAGTTGGGATTTCTGGATTGTGCACTAGAGATCGGCACTTTTGGATGACCAAGGCCAAGTTGGTGTTCGATGTGACGGTTGAGGAGATGTCTCTTCATAGGGTGATGAGACAGTTCGGTCTATATCAACAGCCTGAGATTCCAGATATTCCACACTTGCCAGACCACGTGCACAAGTAAGTACTAATACTATTTTAGTTGGCAGCTCTGCATTCATAATATACCTAATCATGTATCGCGCATGTCAATCTCAGGGACAGTCGCCTAGGAGGAAACAAGTCCATGGCTTATTGGCTTCAAAGCATTACCCCTTACGTTGACGAATGGACTACCGCTGCGACAAATATCTGGGGTGAGGTTCGACCCTTTATCTGGGAAATGTTCAGGTTGTATCTGCAGCGTTACCGGCATACAACGATGATCTACTTGGTTCGATCAGCTGCTCCTGATCAGATCGAAGCCCCTCTCACCAGCGATATGTACCCAACTGCCTCTGTTGTGGGAACCAAACACCACACGGTAAATGCCTTGGTTCTCATATGTTAAGTCTTTTGTTAATCTGGACATATTCGCTTGGTTGTCTATTCGTGGTGTCTATCATACAACGAGGATATAATTGGTTAACTCTTTGTGTACAGGGTGACTTGACACTACAGGCGCGAGAGGAGGTTTCCGCTTTAATGCGGCGCTTTCAGAGGGGAGAAACTATCCCACCGCGAGAGGGCGTCTCATGGTTGAGGCGTCTTGATGACAAGCTACGCGGGATTTACGCAGCTGTTACGTGTAGACGGACTTCGGATGTTGCACTTCCTCCTCCAGCACATCGTCCGCCACGTCCCTCTGTACAACATTCAGAACCACGACCCTCTGTGCACCGTTCAGAACCACGACCCTCTATGCACCGTGCAGAACCTCATCCTTCACAGCCAGGAAGATCTTCCTGGCATGAGCCATCTCCTTCACAGCTAGGGAGCTCTTCCTGGCATGAGCCACCTCCTTCACAGCCAGGGAGATCCTCCTGGCATGAGCCACCTCCTTCACAGCCAAGGAGCTCTTCCTGGCATGAGCCACCTCCTTCACAGCCAGGGAGCTCTTCCTGGCATGAGCCACCTCCTTCACAGCTAGGGAGCGCTTACTGGCATCAGCAGATGAATCTAGGTAACACTACTCACTACATTCTTTTGAACAGTGTAGTAATCGTTCTTGCATTCTCAGCAGTCACTGATGCTTACTGGTGGTGCTTCGTTCATGCATTTGTATCAATTTTACTTTACCGCAGGAGGCAACCAGTCGCAACCGTTCATGCATTCAGAGAAGTCACCGATCCTTAGTGGTGGTGCTTCGTACTTTGAGGGCGGCCGCGAGGATGATGACCAAGCTACGAACATTTATGGCTTCTCGCAGACAGTGTTTCACACTCCACCACCACCACCGACACAGGAGATACAAACCGTGATAGACGAGGTTAACTATGGTCGTGGTTATCGCGAGCCTCGTCCACCGCCTCAGCGCTTATCGCCTTCCGGTCCTCGCCCGAGGAAGACCCAGACTCGTCGTCGTCCCCCGCAGTGATATGCTTATCTATCTATGTATGACTCATTATCTATGTTAGTTTCAGACTATTCGCAGCTGTGTGTCAGTATTTATGTATGAGACATGCTTCATGTATGTGTTACTATTGCACTTGCTTCTATGTGATCAGGAGACATATATTGTTTTATGTATGCGAGAGACATATTACTATTAATTCGCATTCTTATTCCAGTTACATTTCCAAATAGACTACAACCGATAATTAAGATACAAGTACATCTGAATTAAACGGTGCGGCTGAACTTGTGCAATACATCTTACATACTACAAAATGAAATTCAGATAGAACATAATGCCCTACAATAATACAATACAAACTAATAATGCAAATACATCTGAATGAAACAGTACAACTTGAATACATCTTACATACTACATGAAGTCATCATCGTCATCCTCCGTTGATGCAGCCCTCTTGCCCTTCGACGATGCGCTCCTCTTGCCCTTCGTCGATGCAGAACTCTTGCCCTTGGTCGATACAGAACTCTTGCCCATTCGAGGATGCAGAACTCTTTCCTTTGGACGATGCAAAACTCTTGCCCTTCGACGATGCAGAACCCGGAAGCGGCGGCATGAAGATATCATCGTCGTCCTCGCTCTCCTCAGTCCATAAAAATGGATGCTTTTCTGCAGTCCTTCTGAAAGTTTCACTCTTCGGCTCCACCACCTTCTTCCACCTTTCATGCAACCTAAGAAGTTCTTTATGTACCTCCTGATAGGTCCTTTCAGGCCATCCAGACCTACGTAATTCGTGAGCCAACTCATTCATTATGGTGTCACTACCGGTGAGTTCGTCCCATGGAACTATCCTATTGTCCATCCTGAAATCGGTAGCTAGACTCAGCAGAGTGCTGCTCATCTCAGGGTGAAAACTACGATCGAATGGATAATGGGACATCTCGACTACACTACACTGGAATGCTTATCCACCTCCGCCTGAAGGGGGTTTTATAGATACAGAGGAGAAAATGGCGGGAAAGATTAACTGCGGTATGGCGGGAAAATAAGGCGGGAAGGGATTGGCGGGAAACGGGTGGCGGGAACATATGGCGGGAAGGGGTTGGCAGGAAACGGGTGGCGAGAAAATACATTTCAGTGTATTGTATGAGCCATGCAACTTCGGCCTACATGAGACAAAAAAGTACTTTTCGGCCTACACTTGACCAAAAAGTCTATTTCGGCCAAAACTTGACCAAAAAGTTCTACTTCGGCCTATGTGTGGCCGAAAAGTCATACTACGGCCAGGAGATGGCCGAGAACTCTACTTCGGCCAAGCTGTGGCCGAAAAGTCCTACTTCGGCCCAGAGATGGCCGACGGGCTACTACTTTTGATTTTTAATCAAATCATGGTATAGTTTCTGAAAATCCTATAAAATATATCATAGTTTTGAAAAAAAACGTATAATTTTGCTTATTTTGTTGTTTGTTTTAACCAACTTGCCTCTAGTTTCAGGCCATTTACCTATGGCAGATTATAAAGTAAACACTACACAACACAGTTCAACAATCACAAACTGAGCCTACAACAGAAAACGTCAGTCAAAGTACCATTCCGGGCGATTCATTGTGAATCCATCAAGATGTATATACTTCAATTAACGTTAAAAGGCACCTGCATTCCTTGCTTTGCATTATTTTATTTTACTTCACTTCTATTTTTGACACATGAAAGGACGCTGGACAGACAGGGACAGCCATTTCGTACACTAATGTGTAGTGTCAAGCTCTTATATTATGGTACCCACAAAAAAAAAGCTCTTATATTATGAAACGAAGAGAGTAGTATATTTGACGGCACACATATATTTGAAGAAAATTTCGGTAAGTACATTCAGTCAGATTGATCGGAGAATACACAAGAAATAGGAGCCCAAAATACGGCGCGACGCGCGCGCAGGTCGGAATTCCATGAGAGAAACTCAACTAGCTAGAAGAAGAGATCGATCATAGCCTGAGCGACAGGTCCACATCATCAGTCATGGGAGCAGCAGCAACCTTCCACGGACTTGCCTCCGTCCTCCCCGCCTTCCCAGCGGAAGGCTCGACGAAATCACCGGCGGAAACATACCTGGGCCTCTCGTCCTGCGCCGCATGCGCGCGCGTTCCGGCCCCGTGTGCACCCGTGGCGGCGGCCATCTCCCGCCGGCGGTGGGCGAGGCTGCGCTCGTGCTTGTGCGCGTTCTGGTGGCCACCAAGCGCCTGCGAGCTGCGGAACTTGCGGTCGCAGTAGACGCAGAGGAAGAAGCCGCCCTGCTCCGCCTCAGCTGCCGAGCTCACGCGGAGGGTGAGGTCAAGGCTGAGCTCGTGCTCATCCTTCTCACTGTTTGGCTGTTCCATTATACTCCCAGGTACAGTACAGACCGGTGACTGTGCAAAGGAGTTGCGAATGAAATTTGAGGCGCTGGGCAAATGATATTGAATGCTGTAGCCAGCACCAGCACGTGCCTCACCTAACCGGTGCTCCAGACGTCACTGTTCCTCGCGATCAGGTTAATGGAGCCGGCGTGGTGTGGGACGTTGCGCACATTTGCAGCCATTTGCTACGTCTGTGGCGACGGAAGAGAGCACCTGGCCAGACCATCCAAATACGGCCGGAACGGGCCAAGCGCGTGAGGCTGACTCGTGTCGCCAGTATTGTACTCTAGTGTTTTAACCGACAGACTTAGCCCTCGCTATACTATACTCACTCGGTTCCTAAGTACCAAGAGCATCTACAGCCGGACTTAAGAAATCTGACCCCTATATGTTCGAGAACGCGACCGAAAATGCATGCGGGCGCATTCAGACAAGTTCTCATATTTTCCTCTGGTATCCACATATCTCAAATCCGGACTCTTAAATCCATGCAAATTCATACACGTTGATTATAAAAGACAATGTCGCACGTAAATAGTAAATGTTGGTACAGAGCATAGCTAGTGTTACATAAAATTTATTTTAAGTGCACAACTCAAGCATTAACTCCTTAGTTGTCCACATGTGCTCGACATGATCATTGAGTAGCTGCGTGTGCACATGATGATCTCGAAAATTCTAATGCATCTGTAAAAAGTTCATAAGCTGAGCCGCATCTTGATTTTCCAGGATTTCAACCTGTTTTCCAGGTGCTTTGAAATCATGGGTTTGGGCTACAGCATCACCCTCATCCTTGACAATTATATTGCGCAGAATAACACAACATGTCATCAGTTGTCATAAAGTTTCTGACTCCCACATCATTGCAGTGCTCCGCGCAATTCCCCAACGAGTTTGAAGCACACCAAATGCCCTCTCTACATCCTTCCCAGCCGCTTCATGCATGGTTGCAAAGTGGCTCTGTTTATTGCCATGCGGTTTGGATATGGTCTTCACAAACGCCGCCCACTTAGGTTAGATACCGTCGGCAAGATAGTATCCCATGTTGTACCCCGACCGTTGATGGTGTAATTGCACGGCGGTGATTCCCCATTGCAAAGCCTCCTGAACACCAGATATCATTGAAGCACGTTTGAAAGGATCGATATAGTTGACTACAGGGGGGGGGTTGAATAGGCAACTAACAACTTTTAGCTTTTCTTTACCATAAACTTTGCATCAAAGTAGGTTGTCTAGATATGCAACTAGATGAGCAACCTATATGATGCAACAACAACGAGCACACAAGCAAGCAGGAGATGCAACACAATATAAGCTTGCACAAGTAAAGGTACGAGATAACCAAGAGTGAAGCAGGTGAAGACGAGGATGCATTACGGAAGTTCTTCCCTTTTGAGGGGAAGTACGTCTCCGCTGAAGCGGTGTGGAGGCACAATGCTCCCCAAGAAGCCACTAGGGCCACCGTATTCTCCTCACGCCCTCGCACAATGCGAGATGTTGTGATTCCACTATTGGTGCCCTTGAAGGCGGCAACCGGACCTTTATAAACAAGGTTGAGGCTCTCTCCACAACTTAATTGGAGGCTCCCAATGAAACCCCGGAGCTTCACCACAATGGAATGTGGCTCCGAAGTGACCTCTTCCGTCTAGGGTGTCCAAGCACCCAAGAGTAACAAAATCCACACAAGAGGGTATGGGGGAAACAAGTTTCCTTTGGTGAGAGTGTAGATCTAGGTCTCCTCCTTCAATCCCTAGCAAATCAACGAGTTTGAGTGGCTAGAGAGAGAGATCGGGCAAGAGAGCTTCAAAGGCATTACTGGAGGAGAGAGAGAGGAAAAAGTCGGGTGGGCGATAGGAGAAGCACCTCCTTAAATAGGGTCCCCTCAGATCCAACCGTTATGCGCAGAAATCCATAGGAGTTGTACTTCCGCAAAGATCACCGGTACAACCGGTGAATGCGGGAAACCCTTGCTCGGTCACTAGGGCGGTACTTCCGAAGGGGCCACCGGTAGTACCGGTATATCGGAATACACCGGAAGTACCGTTCCACCACCGCTCGACAACCGCTTCACAGCCAGAAGGTTTCACCCTAGACCGGTAGTTAGAGCGGTGGTTGGGCCGGAGCTACCGTTGGACCAGCAATCCCTGGGCGGTGGAGTTCCAGGCGGTTCTACCGCCCTGAACACCGGTAGTACCGGTTAGTCAAGACAAACCGAAACTTCCATTCCACCACTGGTCTACCACTGTACCAGGTACAGAAGGGTTCACCCCTGAGCGGTACTTGGAGCGGTGGTTTGACCGAAGCTGCATGCCAGCGGTACAACCGCCCAAGAGAGCGGTACTACCACCATGAGAAAAACTGCACAGTCACAGAGGACTTTTGGGAATCACTCTCTCCTCGAACGGAGGGTATATGGTGGGTGCAAGGAATGTGTACGTGTAGTGATTCACCCAATACCTTCCGATGTGGATTCCCTCTTAATAGTACGGATATCCTACGACCAAAGGAATAAAAAATATCGGAAACTCCGTCTTCGATCTTTTTCGCATGGAGGGAAGGCCTAACCGTCTTGGGCCACACAATGTGTACCTGAGAAAACTAGGACACACGATTAGTCCACAGGAGTGTTGTCATCTATTGGGGCACGCAGTAATTTCAAAAAAAATCCTACGCACACGCAAGATCCATCTAGGTGATGCATAGCAAAGAGAGGGTACGAGTATGTCTACGTACCCTCGTAGACCGAAAGCGGAAGCGTTATGAAACGTGGTTGATGTAGTCGAACGTCTTCGCGATCCAACCGATCAAGTACCGAACGCACGGCACCTCCGCGATCTGCACACGTTCAGCTCAGTGACGTCACTCGTAATCTTGATCCAGTTGAGGCCGAGGGAGAGTTTCGTCAGCACGACAGCCTGATGACGGTGATGATGAAGTTACCGATGCAGAGCTTCGCCTAAGCACTACAACGATATGACCGAGGTGGAATTCTATGGAGGGGGCACCGCACACGGCTAAACAATCAACTTGTGTGTCTATGGGTGCCCCCTCCCCCGTATATAAAGGAGTGGAGGAGGGGAGGGCCGGCCCTCATAGGGCGGGCCCAAGGGGGGGAGTCCTACTCCCAGTAGGACTAGGTTTCCCCCCTTCCTAGTAGGAGTGGGAGAAGAAGGAACATGGAGAGAGAGGGAAGGAAAGGGGGGGGGGGTGACCCCCCACCCAATTCGGATTGGGCTGGGGGGCGCGCCCTCCACCTGGCCGCCTCCTCCTCTCTCCTAGTAAGGCCCAATAAGGCCCATTGACTCCCCGGGGGGTTCCGGTAACCCCCTGGTACTCCGGTAAATACCCGAACTCATCCAGAATCATTCCAATGTCCAAACATAGCCTTCCAATATATCGATCTTTATGTCTCGACCATTTCGAGACTCCTCGTCATGTCTGTGATCACATCCGGGACTCCGAACTACCTTTGGTACATCAAAACACATAAACTCATAATACCGATCGTCATCAAACGTTAAGTGCGCGGACCCTACGGGTTCGAGAACTATGTAGACATGAACGAGACTCACTTCCGGTCTATAACCAATAGCGGAACCTGGATGCTCATATTTTTTCCTACATATTCTATGAAGATCTTTATCGGTCAAACCGCATAACAACATATGTTGTTCCCTTTGTCATCGGTATGTTACTTGCCCGAGATTCGATCGTCGGTATCTCAATACCTAGTTCAATCTCATTACCGGCAAGTCTCTTTACTCATTCCGTAATGCATCATCCCGCAACCAACTCATTAGTCACATTGCTTGCAAGGCTTATAGTGATGTGCATTACTGAGAGGGCCCAGAGATACCTCTCCGATACATGGGGTGAAAAATCCTAATCTTGATCTATGCCAACTCAACAAACACCATCTGAGACACTTTTAGAGCATCTTTATCACTACTAGGGAAAAGGCTAGCAGCAGCGCGGGTTCTAGGTATATCAGTAGCGCAGGGACCGACGCTACTAATGACGCGCTACAGCTAACCCGTAGCAGTAGTGCGTGCACACCCGCGCTACTGCTATACAAGTGTAGCAGCAGCGCGCTTCGTGGAAACTCGCCACTGCTAATAGCTCTAGCGCGCTTCGCCTGGACGCGCTACTGCTGCTGTGGCGCTACTGCTAACTTTTCTCCACTCGCTACTGCTAATTTTAGTAGTTTTTTTCTGCATTTTTGTTTTTGTATTTGAATAGGCTTTATACAATAATCTCTAACATATGATACACATACAAATGTAATCATAGCATATACATACTGATATGTCTCCAACGTATCTATAATTTTTGATTATTCCATGCTATTATATTATCAACCTTGGATATTTTATATGCATTTATATGCTATTTTATATGATTTTTGGGACTAACCTATTAAACCAGAGCCCAGTGCCACTTTCTGTTTTTACCTTGTTTTAGAGTATCGCAGAAAAGGAAAATCAAACGGAGTCCAATTGACCTGAAACTTCACGGAACTTATTTTTGGAAGGAAAGCAACCCGGGAGACTTGGAGTCCACGTCAAGAAAGCAACAAGGAAGCCACGAGGCAAGGGGGCGCGCCCACCCCCCTGGGCGCGCCCTCCACCCTCGTGGCCCCCTTGACGTACTTCTTCCTCCTATATATCTCCATATACCCTAAAACGACCGGGGAGCACAATAGATCGGGAGTTCCGCCGACAGAAGCCTCCGTAGCCACCGAAAACCAATCTAGACCCGTTCTGGCACCCTGTCGGAGGGGGCAATCCCTCTCCGGTGGCAATCTTCATCATCTCGGTGCTCTCCATGACGAGGAGGGAGTAGTTCTCCCTCGGGGTTGAGGGTATGTACCAGTAGCTATGTGTTTGATCTCTCTCTCTCTCTCTCGTGTTCTTGATTTGGCATGATCTTGACGTATCGCGAGCTTTGTTATTATAGTTGGATCTTATGTTTCTCCTCCCCCT